CTGCCATCAAAACTCGGAAGAATTCCTGTTGAACACCACCGTGGTCAAGACCCTCTTCACCTTCATCCATGCCCATTTGTACCTTCAGTGGCCGCATAAGCTCCCGTCTTTCGCGGCGCCAGAGCTGATTGAGAGCATCCATAAGAATATTGTCGCGCCGGACCATCAGAACCAGATATGTAGACATCGACGTCTTTAGCTGTGCAAGTAACCCGACATCATCCTGAACCTGGATGGGTCCAAAGGCCGTTTGTGTCACGTGTCTCGTCGTAGTCATAGCGGCTTCGTAGTACTTGGACATGGCCGCGTAGTTGAGAGCTCGGAAATAGATCACCAACGCTGAAGGAGGGAAAAGGAAAGGATAGGACAGTAGATGCATTGTTTTGTTGTTCGGAAGGCGACCCATCCACTCCACAGGCATGTCCAAAGGTTCCAACCTGTCGGAGAGAAACGGGGTGTGGAAGTCTTCGGGTACCAGGCCCAAACGACTGCGCTCCTTGTACAACAATGACAGAATCTGAACGGCACCTCCAGCCGAACTGCTTTTCGACAGTTGCGGGTTACCATCCCATTTCTTGAGGAGAAGGGTGCGAAGCCATTCAGCAATGAAGGCAGGCGCGCCAGGAGGGGGAGTATGGTCCAAATCGCCAATGGCCGCTGTCATAGCCCCGTAATGCTCGCTGAGGTTGTTCACAATCAGATCCAGAACGCTGTTCTTACGCTGTTTTGGCAAATCGCGGGAGTGCACCTGTCGCGCTTTTGATATTTCGTGGAACGCCAATCGTGCGGTGAGAGCGCGTACTAAGCGATCAAGTAGCCGGAGGGCCAGCTCATGCTCAAGCATATCAGTTGTTTCTACCACAAGACGGGCCCTGGGTATCGACAGCTTTTGCATGTCCGAACTCGAAGATACGCCCCCGGCCGCACGCATTTGGAGAATCGCTCGCCATGTTGGTGCATCTATCTCGGGAAGAGAGCTAGCCAGGGCAAAAATGGCGAGTGTAGCAACATCAGCAGCATTGGCATCAGTAAAGTGCTCATTGCCCTCCGAATCGGATCGACGAATGATCGGTGCGCTGGATGCGGCGTTCGTCAAGTTGCTAGACGAACGGCGGGGAAGTTTACCTGACATCGAAAGCTCTTTTGGTGGGATGAACAGTGTCTCCGTAGCGCTCCAGAGACTGTGAAAGACAATATCCCGAGGGCAGATGCGGAGTAGCTTACGGAGCGATGGTTGTAATTGTTGGAGGTCAAGCTTGGGCTTAGAGTGGTTCTCATTCATTCCAGTCGAACCGGCCGATTTCTGGCGGAATGAGAGAAGGAGCTGCTTGGTATTCCCCAGTGCATAGAAAACGCTTTGTGAAACGAAGGAGAACACTTCACGCTGGCGGGGAGTCGCAAAGCGCCACTCTGACTCCTCGAAGCTCCCGGTGGATTCCATGTAGGTCAGCTCGTCCTTCCACAGCTCTGCCTCGTCCTCAGAGAGTATCATCATTTGCGTCATGCCGTCAATTATCTCGTCCGTCAAATGTGATAGGGATTGGATGCTGGAAATGGCTTTGTTCTGACTCGAACTCCGGCGCTTCGGTTTCCGGGCACTAGGAGACTCTGTCTCCGGAGGAGGTTGTTCGTCGCTCTGAGGCTCGGGCTTCTCGGATTCGTCGAGCAGGACATTGTTGAGATACTTCGCGCCATCCCATGAAACACGTCGCTCTTTCTTCGGCTGCTCCTGCGGAAGGGGATAGTTTCCGTCTGCTGTTCTCCCTCGATGCTTCTGCGGACGATGCCGTAGGGCGGGTGGCGAAGGTACATTGTGTGTTTCATCGCCATTGACGTGTGTGTTCACGGTGAGCTTGCGGGCGGGTTTCAGCTCCTGATATGATTTCTCCTCCAAACTTGTCCGTGGGTTCTGGCGCCACTGGTCCATGTCCGTGAGCGACAGTCGCTTAACCTGCTGGTTAGGAAGTTTCAACTCCAGCGCAGCCAGCTGGCCATTCCCATGGCGCGATGAGGGGGTTTGGGGAGCCGCAGTTGCAGACAGAGTATGTTGGGGTGTTCGTTGTCGGGTTAGATTTGGCCTGGGTTTATCCGAATATGGCTGTGTTCCATCGGAATCCGGCTTTGGTAATTGAGATTCGGGACGGGTGTCTATGCGATCTGAATCCGGACCGAGCGAACTTGGAGAGCGGCGTAGAGGTAACCATTCTATCATCCTCAGCGATAAGGTATCGAACAAGTTCTGAGTGAACGACTTCGGGTCTTTCATTCGTTGTGTTGCAGGTGTCTCCTCCGGTATAACCGCCGTCAGGTCCCGGGATTCCACACATGGAGACAAACTTCGACCATTTCGATCATTAAAGCTGGAAGAATGTACGTTCCGAACCGGCGATGGCCTTAGCACCCCATCCGCACCAGTATGGTCCCCGCTCCGTGACTCGGTACGTTCTCTCGGTAGTTCATTTGAAGGTAAGGTACGGTTCCGTCGTTTCGATCGGCGTTGATATTCCTGGGGTGAAAGCTCATAAGGAACCCGTGAGAGATTGCGACACAAACCGTCCTCCGCGTTATCCAAGCTCGCCAAGTAGCAAGCCAGTGTGCGGGCGCTCAGCTCAGTATACCGGCGAAATGGTCCCTCCGTCACGCGTTTTCGATAGCTAGCGCAAGTTGGTGTCTGACAGCCGGGATCCTGACAGCCGTAGAGGAGTTGATTCTTGTACCTAGAAGCGTTCCCGTCAGCGGGGCCAGCGCACGCACGGCGTCATAGACGTTACCTGCGGACCAGGAGGTTGAACTGGCGACGGCGTTCATCTCTGCACCATAAAAGAACCTGTGCAGGGTCCGAGACGTCCACGGTGTTTTGAGCGATCACGTCGGGGGCGTTCGGAGGTAGCTTGGAGCGGTGGAACTGGGGTCGGTCGATGCCTCCATGCGAAACCTCATACGAGCTCACGGAAGCTCCGCGGAGCCTGGTCATCTTGACAGACTGCGGAGCATGCCGCAGCTAGCGATCGAGGAAAGACAGTGGCTTAACAAAGCACCCTCTCTATTTGTAGGTCTGCGCAGCGGAGAAAGGGGTCAAACTCGAGGCGAAGATGGTTATGTGACTCGTTATTTCTGGGGTCTGGGGGTCTTGCGAGGCTGATATCACGAGCATTTTGGGGGGGGCCTCAGGCGCCAAGACCAGCTCGGGTGATGAGTCAGCAGGTGGGAACACCAGGAAAGACACTAGTCCCAATCCGAATAGTTCGTTCTTGCTTGTGATCACGGGCTCTCACTTGTACTTACTTTGTACCCTCCGATATCCCATACGTTATTATTAGCTATGGTGACACTTTCTTGTGGTACACCGGATTCCAGAAGGCCTTACTTGGTAGTTATATCCTTTTGTATCAATCCCGTGTTAATCGGCCTATGCACGGCACTACGGAGGACAAGATAGATCTTGGGAAGCAAGGGAACTATCTCCACGGCACAAGTCCGCGTATTGACTGGTGTAAGATAAGTGGAAAGTTCATTATAGATCCTTACATAGGCCTCGACGGGGCTGAAAATGTTGTTCGCGCTGCCAGCAATCAGTGCTGATGTGTAAGACCTGGTTTCCACAAGTCTATACTCTGCATGACTCAACTGTCTCGGCTGCTAGACCATGTCTACAGAGACATTCCCTACCGATCTTCCCCTAGATTTCTGCTTCCTACCTCATGCTGGTGTTGATTATCCCTAATCCATATGCTGTGCAATGGCTTCGACAGATTGTTTTAAGGTCTCTGTCTCGAGATTGTCTTTCCAATTGTTAGCGTTTGTTAGCCCACAATCTCTAATGATGCAGCCACGGTTGGAACCGCAACACTTCCCCAGAAAATCACTGAAGTAATAACAGTATCTTCCAAGACTACAATGCCTGTCAGAAATGACCCTCGATGATGAATGACTGCATTAATCAATGGCAATAATGGCTAGCACTACGTCGCCTAAGGCCAGGGTACAGCCTAGATTGTCCCATCACTTTTAACACTTGATAACATGATAGCAAAGTTATTCCAGTATCAAAGATGAAGTCTCACGCTCTTCCAATCCCAGCTTCAACTCTCCCGGGTTATAGTCTGGTTTGAAAGTCCGGCATTGCCAGGTTCTAGTGAAGGCCATGACGTTGTGGTGCCCTCTGCACTACTGACTGGGTTGGGGACAAAGTTCTGGACTTGATGACCTTAGTGCAAGCAACTGCTGCATAATACAACAGATTGATGCTAGCTAATCTGCCCTGTTGCAGATTTTGCTAGTCAGAGATAACCATGCATGTGTCCGAATCGGGCAGTGGACCAAATCACACAAGAGCGGGCTGCAATATGCACATATATTGCAGCACTAAGTACTTTCAATATATATTTCGGGCTCCTCTTCCTCGATTCATCGTGCACGCGCAGACCAAGTCGACCCCCCTCTTCAGCCGTACGGGTCTTTTAATCTATATCACATCAAAGGCGTTATGGTTCACCCATAAACAGGCGATGTGGCGTGCATGGAAATATATTCCATGTTTTAGCCCCACAGCTGATTTTGTCGGTCCGCCTTAGACAAGGACTAACTATCTAAACTACTAGTATGCACTACTAGCAAGTTTGCCCAGATGTTGGTGTCTCACTAGCATTCGGCTCCCGACACTGTTAGTACAAGATCAACAGCCGCCCACTAGTCGGACGGACCAAGAAGACCAACTACCCCGATCAGGGAGACCAAGCTTTATATTCCCTCAAAGATGTCAACTTTGAAGGATTCTACTGGGAGGAGGAATTGGAGGGCTTGGGTAGAATCGATGCTCACTATTTGGATCCTGAGTGGCCTGGCTATACGGCCGTGCTCCGATAGTCTGATAGTAGATTATTATCCTCTCTGCTTTGGTAATTCTTGTTCTGCTTAGTCTTTCTTTTTCATATGATACTTCTGTTCCCTGTTAAAGGGTGTCATAAAACCCAGTCCAAGTAATACCCATTATCTACCATTCACATTTGCCAATCCTCTGCATTGTCAGCGACCAGTGCAGCTCCTGAAACATAATCAAACGATTCAACTTCGTTCGTATTCGGAAACCCCTCGAGTCCTTCAAAGATATCCATATCAAATGACGTCGCATCAAAGAGCATCTGAAAGGAAGGGTCAACAGCAAGTTTATCGAGACGCGTGCCCGTGCTATTATACTCCATTGGTAATTGTGCCGTGCCCGGGACACTTGTCGAGGAAGGCTCCCCCACTGCAGTAGGGGTAGCTTGTGACTGGTACATAATCCGGTCAAGTACTTCCAAGCACCGCGCTGCAGCTTGATTCTTCGGGCTCAAATTAGCGAGGCAGTCACGCGATCTCTCTATGGAAGATATCCAGAGCTCGTGATTTGCCGCCGCCAAGCTTCTATCCAACGGCTCCTTTGGTCGGAGATGATAGATGCTGAGAACGACGGATGCCTGGAAGAGGAAGTATGTCGCGTACCAGCATAGGCCGAAATGTAGCGTATCCGAATAGTCAACACAGAAGGTAGTGATATCCTGGATACACTCTACGGCGGCATAGTGGCACATGTTTCGGGCTTCTTCGCTGTCTGACGGAGAACCGCATATACGCTGAGTTCCCCACCATAGCATCATTCGCAGGTTTTGTTCCTTCCAGCTGACTATTGCTCGAGGTCCGCGGAACCATGTTGGGACATCGTGGGCCGTAAATTAAAGCGGCGTAGGATTGGAAATGATTTGTTATACCACCCGAAATAGGCGTCAAATAGAGAGTCCGTGAGGATGGAGTTATCAAGTTCCCTCAGAATGTGCGGACTCGCTAATTTGGTCGAGTTTGCAGGGTGTTGTGCTCTTCGAGTAACCAAAGGAGCAGGATGCTCGGGTAGTAAATCTGAGATGGTTTCCAGTATACATGACCCAGATGAGTTTCCTAAAAAACCACCTTCAATCTCATTCATAAAAATATTCTCAGGCCACCTACCTAAGTAACCGGATCCTGGCCCTTCGGTTGGCAGTGATGCCATTCCATCGAGAGACTTGTTTGGCGGATGAGACGAGGTCATTGGACCCTCGTTCCATTCAAAGTTCTCTAATGGGGTGGGACTTTTCGCATCAAGGCTTACACATAGCAGGCTGTTGTGGTCTGTTTCATTACCATCATGCCCCTGTCCAGCCCCTGCCAATGATTTCAATGCTTCTTCGATGTCGATGTTGGGATCCAAAGTCTGGACAAGGGTCATCAAATTCTCACAGAGCTGCTCCTTCTCTTCAAGGTTCCTATGTTCTAAGGTATACATGGGGCCTACACTCACTTGCGAGTCAACGGTGTCCGAGATGGTACACTCTCGAAGCGACATCGTTTTCTAGTCCTCGAGCAGTAAGAGCATGGGGCGGTTCCAGAACACTTGGTAGTACACTATCAGTATAGAAATAGCTAGCAATATGCGGATTGCTCTCGGGGCCATACCTTGCTCTTTCGTCTCTTGAAGCATGTCAGTACTTTATTAGCCACATGCGATAGCCCTCTAATATATGACGGGCCACTCTTACCCGGCACTCTACACACTACTCGTTGTTAGTCTAACGACAGGCTTCCTGCTAATGTAGCAGACTTACTGCCCGAAGCTCCCGTGTCTCTGGTTTTAGTCTCGTCCGTTTTGCCATGCTGGTGATTGGTTTGTGGCAGGAATGTGTTACATCAACATAAGGTTTATGCTCTATTGATCGTTGTGGTCGGCCCGCAGTCGTCCGAGGACCCCGCTGGATCGATCCACGCAAGTTAGCTTCTGATCTGGAGATGTCAAAGACGCCGTTTCTGGGAGCTTATTCCGATGCTTAAAGACATTCAAATGGGGTCTATCATATTATCTCACATTAGTAGAAAGCGCCCTTTACTCTATTGACGTCTGGTTAGCCTTGCATAGCCCTAGGAGATCAGTGTGAAGTTCTCCTAGATGCGGATCTCTGGCAATTCATCTCGCCGGTCCATCTATGGATATCTGATACCTAACTTGCTCAAGAATGCTTTTATAGCTACTCACTCTCTTGATTAGCCAACCTCAGATACTAAGCGTCGCAGTCAGCCTTTCATTGAGAGGCCCAAACGGTGCAGTTGCAACGTGATTGGCCGAAATCGTGGCGCTCAATCGAGAGGATAAAGAAGTCGTGCGTCAGCACTAGCGATAGTGGCCGTTGCTCTGGCATCATGCGATCGGGGAAAAGTGTTTCCTTTCCTAATTATATCCAGCTCATCAGAATAGCATAATATTTGGCAGACACTGCGAATGATTGTTAGATTAGCGCCGTGCAACGCCGCAGAGTTACTACTTACCTAGATTTCAGATGTCAGGAGTCAGTCCAATGACAGCCCTGGGGCTTACGCATGGAAACCACGAAGGATTCACTAATAATTAGACTGGGCCCCAGTAAGAATCCCATGAAATCCAGGGGTTTTAAAAGGCGCGACTGCCCGGCCTGGCACTCAGTCAAACTTTCCGAGTTACCCATTCTTCTCCCCCATATTTGACAACGCGTTGTCCGGCACGGTCGCATAGAGCACAGGCCGTCAACTGCAGGAGCTCGTCTCCGCTTCATCTATATCTCTGTGTTTGACAGCTCCGGTCGGAAGTCGCCGGCATTCAATCGGCCTGCGTGTACAGCTCGCAGGGTTCACACAACATGGAGGTCAATTCTCCCAGCTTCGCGTCGCCGCTCGCTAGCGTTCGAGCCAACAACTTGCCCATTCCCTCCCAATTCGAGGGTGTCGTTGATGCCATCAGCAATGCGAGCCCGTGGACTATCGCCTTTACAATTCTCGCGGTTCTTGTCGCTTATGATCAAAGTATGTCTTTTGACCGCTGATTATGATTCACTCGATCGGTCCTAAGATGGCTTGCTTTTCAGTCATTTACCTCATAAACAAAGGCAACATTGTGGGCCCAGCTTTCAAGATACCCTTTATCGGACCATTCTTGGAATCTGTCAACCCCAAATTTGAGGAATATTATGCCAAATGGAAAAGCGGCCCGCTCAGTTGCGTGTCCGTCTTTCACAAGTTCGTTCCCTGGGCGCATACAGATCGTTAGCATAGACCAGACTAACAAAATCCGGTCCAGATTCGTCGTGATTGCCTCAACCCGTGATTTGGCTAGGAAAGTGTTCAACTCCCCGACCTACGTGAAGCCCTGCGTCGTGGATGTCGCTCATAAGCTCCTGGGGAAGGAGAACTTTGTCTTTATGGATGGAAAACCACATGTGGATTTCCGGAAGGGCCTCAACGGCCTTTTCACAAGGAAGGCACTGCAGTCTTACCTTCCTGGTCAGGAGGGTGTCTATAATCAGTACTTCGAGCGCTTCCTTGGTATCACGCAAAAAGCCGGCGGCAAGCCAGTACCCTTTATGCCCGAGTTTCGCGAATTGATGTGCGCCGTATCGCTCCGCACATTCTGCGGCTATTATATTTCGGACGAAGCTGTGAAGAAAATCTCTGATGACTATTATCTGATCACAGAAGCAATGGAGCTGGTCAACTTTCCTCTTATTCTGCCTTTCACAAAGGCATGGTACGGTAAGAAGGCGAGTGATATGGTCATGGCCGAATTTTGCCAGGCCAGTGCGAAGAGCAAGGTCAGTATGGCAGCTGGCAAAGAACCAACTTGCATTATGGACGCGTGGGTCAAAAATATCCTGGCCTCAAAGCAATGGGTTGAAGCAGAAGCCAAGGGAATGCCAATGGAGGGCATGGAAAAACCATCTCCTCTGCTACGTGACTTCGCCGATTGGGAGATCGCTCAGACAGTGCTCGCATTTTTGTTCGCTTCCCAGGATGCTACCAGCAGCGCAGCCACCTGGCTCTTTCAGACGATGGCACAGCGCCCCGACGTGCTCGATCGAGTGCGTGAGGAAAATTATCAGGTCCGTAACGGTAACGTCTATGCTGAGGTTAACCTGGACCAACTGGAGTCCATGACCTATACCCGTGCAGTCGTCAGGGAGCTTCTGCGGTACCGACCTCCCGTGATCATGGTGCCTTATATGGCGAAGAAGCCGTTCCCAATCACTGACTCCTACACTGTTCCTAAAGGTGATCTCTGTAACATGAACCAAGACCTTAGCCGGTGCTAACTATTAACAGGAGCGATGGTTATCCCCACCACGTACCTCGCCCTCCGGGACGAGGAGGTATACGAGAACCCTGACGAATTCGATCCTGAGCGTTATTATACCGGGGATGCTGAGGAGAAGGGAAAGAATAACTATCTCGTGTTTGGAACCGGTCCACATGTGTGCATTGGACAGCACTATGCGCAGCTCAATCTGGTACTGCTTATCGGCAAAGCCTCGTTGCTGCTGGACTGGAAGCACCATGCGACCCCGCTATCAGAGGAGATCAAGGTCTTCGCAACCATCTTTCCCAAGGTGAGTGAGCAGTGAGCAAGAAGAAGCTACAAGTACTGATTGCTTGCCAGGATGACTGCCCGTTGACATTCAATAAGAGAAAATGGTAGGGTAAAGTGGTGGGACAATGGAAAGGGAGGAGGGGCGGTTGCTTACTGCCGTTTGACTCGTTTGTACAGAACTCACAATACTTCTATACATACTTTGAGTGTCAGCTTAATATTTCGACTGTCTAATTCAAGACATTCTGTCTTTCCCGATTTTTATTCTACTGTTCACAGACAATGAAGACGTTGTTGGATTTGTCCCATTTGCCCATATCATTGGCTCCTAGACCGTGCCCAAGAATTGGTACCGTAACACTTTTAATCAACTACTGCGGGTTTAAACCCCAGACACGTTCATGATATTTTCAGATCTTCGTTATATGGTCCTTTTATTGAATTTCAATAGCACTCCGTTATGCAAATACCCCAAACTCCCAACAAACGACTACTAGAATACCAGGCCTCCACCTATCCACCAAACAAATCTTCGTTAGCTACTATGCCACGACACCTTCCTCATCATAGAAAGAACATACCATCAACCACAATATCCTCTCCATTCAGATAACTCCCTCCAACATCACTACACAAAAGCACCACCGGCCCCGTCAACTCCTGCGGCGACCCCATACGCCGCATGGGATTGCGATCAGCCCATACCGCACGATGACCTGACAGCTGATCCCCCTCATTCAGAACCGTATCCATATAGCCAGGCGAGATGGAGTTGACATGAATGCCATACTGCGCCCATTCAGCGGCGAGACAGCTCTTCATATGAAGGATACTGGCTTTGGAGATATTGTACGCTAGCTGGGGCTGGGGGTAGTTCACGCGGTGGCCGCTGATGGAGGCAATGAAGACGATTTTGCCGCCTGTTTTACGGGAGATCATGTGTCTGGTTTATAATTATTATGAGTTGTTGAAGTGCAAGTCTAAGTGGGCTTACCTGGCAACAGTCTGCGCCATGACCCAGCTTCCTGTTGCGTTTACGTCTTGCATTCTCTTGTAATCTTCCAGGGACATGTCGATTGACGGGACGCAGTTGACTATTCCTGCGAAGCAGCATAAGATTCTCAAATCGCCGAGACGGTCTATGGCTGATTGGACTGCGGATTGTACATCTGCTTCGATGGTCACGTTGCAGGGTATGGTTACGATTTTGGCGTTGGGAAAATCATGCTGTACGGCTGAGATGTGCTCTTTGCTCTTTGTGAGGGAGGTAGGTAGGTCTAGGAGAGCTAGGCCTTGTAGACCGTGTTCAAGGAGTGCTCGTGCTGAGGTGAGTGCTAGAGCGCCGGCGCCTCCGGTGACTATACATTGTCTTAGTCCAGTCGCCTTTCTTCTCTACTAATAAAGAGAAAAGAGATGGCGAGATGATAAGACATACAGATGGCATTTCCCCTTACTGCGAATCTCTGTCTCGCGTTGTCGGCTGCACTGTTACTCGACGGGAAAGGCGCAGGGGGTGGCGTGAGAGATGACTGAGGGTCAAGCTCTCCTAGTTGCATCCAAGGGATTGCTGGGGTATCTGAGTTGGATCCCATAGTGATTATAGTGAAGTCTTATTCTATCTTGTAACTAAGTGATGAGTGGAGCCCAGGAAATTGAGATTTAACAACGTCGACTAAAATGAGAGAGTGGGGTGAATGTTTGATCACTGGGTTCTGCGTATCAACTCAAAAGGGCAAATTATGCGCGGTGGTCCTAGGGTGTTTTCTTTTAACCATTAAGGTGTCTGCTTGAACCTACTGGTTCTCGGCTACCTGTCGACCGATGGGGTTTGGGGTGGAGTGCAGATGCACCGGGCTAAGCCCCGAGCGGGATGATTGAATGCGGGGACTCCGGCGGGATGCGGAGGTTGTCCGATTAGGTCCGAATGGCCACCAATGCAATGCTTCGGTTGTCTGTTGCCCGAGACCTGTTCTGCCCTTCTTTTCTCGTTGAAATTAAGTCAACAGGCTCGCCTTCAATGATTAGGAGCTTGGAACGGGGCGGAGTCTGAAGCAGATGATCAAAGATGGAATCAAAGCGCCAGTTTGGATCGAATATTGTTGGTTCGACGCTTGTGTACTCACTAATCCCGGATAGAAATCATTGGTTCGAAGACTAGGTCGGACCACAGTTACCCGAACAGGTATATCATGATGATTGAGATCAACTCCTGGCTCCTTCTAAGAGAGTGGGGCAACCAGGTTCAATTCTCAAAGGACCAGTATTTGTTGGTGGAACCCCGCCATATCTGGTCGCGTGAAGTGAAAGAAGAGAAGCAGCAACCATCAAGGTAGATACCGTTCCAAGAAAAACATCTTAAAAGGGTACGGAGTACCTTCCAGTCTTATAATTGTCAGGCTTCATCTTTTGATACTCCCGCTTGAACCAGTCTTGAATTCTTTTCATTTGCTGCAGTTGTTAACTACCACCTCTGTTCAACATGTCTATGAGCGTAGCCGAGTGTGCCCCAGTCCGTGAGGGATACCCTCGCCCGTTCCCAAACACGCCAACAAATGTGTTGGCGCAGATGCGTCTGAGCGGAAAGGTTGTCGTGGTCACAGGAGCTGCAGATGGTATCGGCTACGCAGTGGCTGAAGCCATGGCTGAGGCTAATGCCGATATTGCCATGTGGTACAACTCGTAAGCTATGCCTTTTCTAGCATCGGAAACAAGATTCCACAGCTAACCAAGTCACGATAGCAATGATGCAGCCGTCGCGAAAGCGCAGGCACTGGCTTCTGCTCATGGGATTAGAGCTACTGCTTACAAGGTCGATGGTGAGGGTTACTTGTCATTCGTTGTGAAAGGCATGGAATACTGATTATTCCAGTTTCGGATGCGGATGCCGTTCAACAAGCAATTGCGGATGTCGCCAAAGACTTTGGCAAGATTGATGTGTTTATCGCAAACGCCGGTAGGATGCCATTTTTGTCGCACAGTATATTGAATCGCTAACATTCTAAACAGGAATGGCCATTTCCAAGCCTCTCCTGGAGCAAACACTGGAAGAATATCGGAAGCAGATGTCGGTGAACGGTAATATGCTTCCTCCTCTGCTGTAAAATGGATGCTGATGTTGGTATACAGTCGATGGCGTTCTTTACTGCGCCAAATATGTTGGAGAGGTGTTCAAACAACAAGGCTTCGGTAACCTGATCATTACCTCTAGCATGAGTGGTCATATTGTCAACGTCCCCGTTGATCAGCCCGTCTACAATGGCAGCAAGGCCTTCGTGACGCACTTTGGAAAATCACTTGCCCGCAAGTGGAGAGATTTCGCCCGCGTTAACATTGTCTCTCCTGGCTTTTTCGATACCAAGATGGGTGCCAGTCCGCAAACGGTCAACGAAGCTTATCGGATGGCGCCGCTTGGAAGGCAGGGCCATGTGAAGGAGATCAAGGGTTTGTATTTGTATCTCGCCAGTGACGCGTCTACATTCATGACGGGCAGTGATGTCCTCATTGATGGTGGTTATGTGCTACCATGAGCCAAACATGCTGCCACTTTGCTGCTGATAGTATTGATAGTCTGTTTGTTTATCAAGCTAGATGCCATGTGATAGACTAGTAGTTTTGGCTGGTGCTCCACAATATCTGATATACTAGAGAAATATATCTCGGCTGGACCATTACTTACTACTAGTACTACTTTCTATTGGCAGGACGTCGGATTGCTTTCACATCCCCTAAACCACACCAACGGCTCTACTAGGATTTTCAAAATCATCCACTAAGCTACTTTCGGAGACAAATGTCATTTTGAAACAGACGAAGCAGAAGACAAAAGGAGAACTCGTCGGCCGCCTGCGCATAAAATGTAGTAATGACTAATACAGCACTAGTAGGGTGGATAATGTGTGGGCACGTGCATTGAACGTCATTGGGCCCAAAGCGGCAAGGCGGCGCAAATCTCGGTGATTATCAATAATTAATTCTGCTTCGGCGCTGAGGGGCAACAATTGAAGACTCATCCCGACTCATCCACCCTTCCCTATCTCATTTACTTTCACTCGCTCGTGTGGATTAATATCTTCCACCCATATAAATATTTACAAGTGTCACTGGGATAGCCACTTGTTCTCCGATACCCAGCGGTCGCAGCATTTGACATTGTGCCCCGCTTCGTCCATCCCACAATCATTTAACGACCTCTACACGACATTTTCTTTCATCGTGATACCCCTGCGTTGTTTCGCCGATTTTATTCAAGATGGACGGCCCTGCATCTTCCCTCCCCTACACCTGCAACACTTGCCTTGTTGCTTTCCGCGGCAGCGATGCGCAGCGGGTGCACATGCGCACTGACTGGCAGTAAGTTTCTTCATATTATCACTGGATTCGTTTGCAGGAGCTGATCCCGTCTGTACTAGCTTGTATAACATGAAGCGTCGTATCGCCTCTCTTCCCCCCGTGTCCCAGGAAACCTTCAACGAAAAGGTTCTCGCCGCCAAAGCCACCACCACTGCCGCGGCCGCCAAGGCATCGTTCGAGACGACCTGTGTCGCTTGCCAGAAGACCTTCTACAGCGAGAACTCCTACCAGAACCACATCAAGAGCTCCAAGCACAAGGCTCGCGAGGCCCGCATGAGCCGGGAAAATGCCGACGAGTCGTCCTCCGTCATGAGCTCCACCTTCTCCCTGGGAGAACCCATCAACAAGCCCCGCGTCGGAGAGTCCGAGGTCAACAAGGTCGCCGAGACCCTCAAGGATGCTACCATCAAGGAGGTGAACAATGAAGACGAGGAGATGTCTGATGATGGGTTCTTTGCGTCTCGTTGTCTCTTCTGTCTGCAGAAGTCGGAGAATGTTGAAGAAAACACCGAGCACATGTTCAAGACCCACGGCATGTTCATTCCCGAGAAGGACTACCTCGTTGACATTGAGGGTCTTCTCCACTACCTGTGGCGCAAGATCAACGAGAACAGCGAATGCACCTACTGCCATATGATCCGCAACACCCCCGAAGGCATCCGCACCCATATGAAGGACAAGGGCCACTGCATGATCGCTTTCGAGTCTGAGGCTGAGCAGATCGAAATTGGCCAGTACTACGACTTCCGCAGCACCTACTCAGACGATGAAGAGTGGGAGTCCACCGGCAGCGAGACACATGAGGAAGGAGGCGTCAAGGTTGACGGCGAAGACGAGGGATGGGAGACAGACGCCTCATCCATGGACGAGGACGAGGACGATCTCGACAACCGCAAGCGCGCGCCCGTCGTCTACGCTACCGACTACGAGCTGCATCTGCCCTCCGGTCGCAGCGTCGGTCACCGCTCCCTCGCCAAATACTACCGCCAGAACCTGCACAACTACCCCACCGCAGAGGAGCGTGCCGAGCGCCAACTTGCCATCGAGAACGGCGAGATCGAGGAAGAGGAGCCGAAGCCTCGTGGCCGCAACCTCAACCGTGCTCTTATCACCCGTGCCAATGGTGGTACTGGTATGATTGGAACGACGGATTCCCAGAAGAGGGACGTGATGATCAGCGAGCGCAAGGAACGCCAGAGAGCCATGCGACAAGAGCAGCGCTTCACGGCACGGGTCAACCGGCAAGCCAACCACCAGAAACACTTCAGAGTAAGCTTACCGCCGGAGATTGTTTTGATTTTCATGATACTAATCAGATGTATAGGATCCTCTCCTGCAATGATCTCATACATTTCGTCTTCTTGCATCGTATGTTGATGAGTCTATGAATTATTTCAGGCTATTTGTTTCTTGGGTTTAGTTTCTGCATTGCCGTGCTGCTGGCATCGTCTTGTTTATGGAGTTGTGGTTGGGTCCATGCACATGCTTTATGATAAAAGTAGGGTGAATAAATAGAGATGATTCTGGATATAATAGGCCTAGTAGATTACTACGTACTAGCCAATACCCATCAGGTAAAACAAACAGCCAGTTTACGAAAAGCCTGAAGAATAACAATCAACAAATCATGTTGAACGAGCAAATAAACAGGAAAAAATACAAAACAAAAAGAAATATCTGTGCATCATCCGTGAATCGAACACGGGCCTCATCGATGGCAACGATGAATTCTACCACTAGACCAATGATGCTAGTTGATATATTATGCCGCATTCTATGCAAATATCAGTGGTCGAAAGAATATCGAACCAACCAGTCCTCGACAGCTACACATACTCAATATTCCATGACAGAAAAATATATTTATATTGAACATCCAGACTAGACCTGCTGTTGTGTTGATTATCGTGACATCTATTCTAGTCTTCTACTCTGGACTTGCAACTGAATACCATTCCAATAACCGCATTGAACCCTGTACGAAAACCATCTAGGAAAGGGTCCCGGTTCTTTCAACACCCTCTTCTCTCTCCTTCTTTGTAAATTCTTACATTTACGTAGAGAGATAAGCCCTATCCCTATAACTATAGACAGAATATATATATATATATATATTGAGTTAGTAACTTGTAGTAGAGGCAGGGCAGGAGCTCTACTGAGAGGAGAGACCAATAAAAAGGTCAACTAAGAATATCATGTCACACCATACTATTCCTACATATCAGATTGATAAGTGTCTACTACGAATCAACTAACTAGTCAATCCAGCCATGTTCATGTTCCTGAATATGTTCAGGGATCATCCTCGTCCTCCTTCTTCTTATTTTCTTGGCAGATGTTCATTCCTTGGTGATGTTACCTACGTGTATATCATACTGATAATAAATCAAGAGGCTTGATTAGAGTCGGAGTGAGTGAGTGAGTTTCGAGAGGGCGAGGATAACCGATTGCAAGAAAGAATGAAAGCCACGATGCATGAAATCCCTGAATTGTTATCTTCCCTAGGGAATCAAGGAAGAGTTGCTATAGTACGTAGTATTATCCATCATGTGGTCTTGATCTCGCATGGTTTGGACTCGGGGAATTATTTGTATCAAGGATCGGATCATTGAGAGCTTACGGTTGTGTTCTCAATTTACTATTATTCCCGGGGGTACAGTCGGCATTCTACATCAGAGAATACTTAGAAGTATGGCTAGGATGCTGGAAAGCGGATTATCTCCCGGTCTTGAGATGAGATGCTGGACGGATAGTGGTTCCTCCATCATCTGTAAAAGCAAGTAGGGGCAAGATAGGGTCGGTGTTACATTTTATGCAAGGACCTATCACGAGAATGCCATTCCTTAAAGATACTACTGATCACAAATCTCATCTACACCGCCAGACCCCTCAATGCAACGACAAGTGTCAAGCGACCAGGTACTGGCACGCAGGGTCGGCTATGCATGGAAAATGAATATATGGTGGGAAGGAAAGAAATACATCGGTTCCTCGGAAGCATGTGCATCACACACGACCAGCTGTTCGGTCGTACTTGTGTACAGGCTAAATTTTTGCAACGTAACAACAACAACTATCCACATGTCGCCCTGTCGCTCTGGCCAGCAGAACACTCGGAGCGTCTGAAATTATCTTGGTTATTGCGACAGTAGAGGGGTATTTTCGCCCGACTCCCCGTTCTTCGGGCCTTGTCCACGCTTTCTGCGACGACGACGTCTCTTGTTTCCGGCGGACTGATTATTCCCCAGGTCGACGATCTCGCCTTCCTGGCGGACAGGGAACTCCGGATTTTCGCTCGTTCTCGGTCGTTCAGATTCAGATGAGCTGGTGCTTGTGGTATGGAGCACAACCTTGCGAATGCCGTTGACATCGACCACCTGCTCTGTGATGCTACCACTGCGAGCCGGGCCTCGGTGAAGGTAACTGCCCGGCTTGAGATGCTCGGATTGCGAGTCGATGGACCGGGCACTGCCGGTTCGACTGCCCGCTGACCGAGGGTGATCATCCTGTTCCTCATGGACCGGTTCGGGTATCGATATCGGGAGACCATCCTTCGTCTGAGTACCGGCATCGGCCGGCGGATTAGAGTGGTTCATCGTGCCATATCCTGCACGGACCGCATACACCCCATCACGGGCGTCCATACCGCTCTGTACAAGCCCGGCGCCGATACCGCCCTGCAGGCCGATGGAATTATGTCTAGGTTGTACATCGGACATACTCTGGCTGGATTCAAGATCGGTCTGTCCGGATCGGGATGGCGAGGCACTCCGTTTGATCTTCACATTTTGGTATCGAGTTTGGCGCGGTCGGCTGGCCAAGTTTGATGGACCCAGGTGCTTCAAATGCTGTCTGATCTCATCCGTGGCCCCGCGATGCGTGAACAAGCCGTCTGTCGAGTCTGAGTTCTTATCTGAGGTGGGCCGACGGAGCTGGAACCGGGGCAAGGGTGCCTCTACGGAAGGCCGGCGATGGTCCTTCGGGGCCCCATTGGGCGGAGCAGGGGACTCGTTGTCCACCTCGACTAGAGTGGTCTCAGCCGGAAGCATGGGGGGATCTTCGACAATCCGGCCCTTGGGAACGCGGGACTTGGGAGCAGGAGCCATGCGGCGGATGGCCTTGTGCACATCCACGAAGACATCGGACTCGTCGATGATTTCCCTGCAGAGTGTCAGCATTGTTCGGTCCTTTTGGGGCTTGTCTGGTACGTACTCTCCGATGAGCTCCTCAATCACATCTTCCAGGGTGACCACACCCAAAGCGCCGCGATCCTCACTCGGATACTCCGACACCAGTACCATGTGGGACTTGCCCTCTTGGAAGAAGTTGACGATATCCAGACAGCTTGTCTCCGGGCGGGTTTCGGGAAGCGTGGCCAGAGCAAAGTCCCGCACGCGCTTGCAATCTTCGGGGTCATAGGTGATCAACATTTTGACCAACAGCATGCCGACGAAGTTCATCGGGTTGTCCGGAGCGTGAATAGGAATACGAGAGTATCCTTGCGACAGAATCAAGTCCATTGTGTTTTCGTCTAGGATGGTGTCGGCGGACATGGTGAAGACGTCTTCCATTGGGGTCATGATGCTGCCCACTGCCTTGTCCTTGAGGTCAAGAACAGCGCTGATGATGGTGACTTCATCGGAGTTGAGCTGTTCACCGGCTTCACCCAAGGTTTTGTGCAGCGTCACCAGGGTCTTGAGACCGGCCTTCTTGTAGATGGTTCCGTGATCCTCACCCAACAGCTTATCGAGCAGCTTCGCGACCGGGTAGGCGACGGGAGACATGAGGTACATGAGCGCTAGGACACAAGGAGCCATCCAGGCACCAATGGGGAGACCGTAACGGACACATATCGACTGGGGGACGATTTCACCGAAAATGACTAGACGCGACAGAGGGAATTATGGTAAGCAAGGATGCGAAGGCCAAGAAGAGGGATTTTCCGGACATACCAATCAAGACGGTACTGCCGAGCACCGCAGGCCAGCCACCGCCAAGTGAGCGGTCGAGCACGATTGGAAGCGTCTCGTTGGTGATCACATTGCTGAGCAGCAGCGTGACGAGGACCCAGTGCTTTCCTCGCTGCAACAGCTTCAAGACACTTGCGGCATTTTTGCGTTCGGAGCCTTCACCGGAGGTCTGAATGACTTGTAGGTAGACTTCATCCTGTTTGGGGGAGAAGGGAAGTCATCAGCGTCATTGCACAGGAGCATGAAAACAGTTCTGAGTGTGAGATTGGAGTTACCTGTCCCATCAAGGCGATGGTCAAACCAGCGAACGCACCGCCGCTGAGAACGAGGGCGGCGGCGACACCTAAGTACAGCCATAGACTGGGGTCACTGGGGGGTTTCGGGTCGACATCGGAGTTGATGATAAAAGTTGGGGCGGCGGAGATGACGGGCAGGTTGGCAACAGCCAAGAAGCAGAGCTTTGCTAAACCAAGGACGAGAGGCCGGGCGGCCAGGATACGGGTGGCAGAGGATATAGCCATCACCGAAGGGCAATGGAAGGAGAGTGGAAAAAAGAAGAAGAAAGGCCCGAAGGCTACCAGAGGGGCATATTTGAGGAAAGAGACGACAAGAAGAGAGAGAGAAAGGGTAGGTACGAATTGGGGGGGGGGCGGCTAAGCTGGATTGGGGGGCCGGGAAAGCAGAAAGATGGATGGAAACGACGAAGTGGTAACCAATCCGAGTAAAGGTTCTGCTGCTGCTGCTTTGCTTAGTAGTGGCTGGCGGCGTAATCGGAACAATTGATCAGTGCGGGTGGGTGTCTGGCCACTGCGTGACGTCCGCCTTCTTTTAGCACTTACATTAGTACGTAGGTACTACTAGGTAGTGCTATGTCCTCCACTAAATCCATCCTTCATTATATCATTCTTCTTACTGGCTTATACTTGTTTTATTTCCCTCAACAGGAGGATGGTGGAGGGTTCTCTAATTGATTGATAGGTGGTGTCAAATAACTCACCAATCCAGCGCGATTATTATCCTCCCATCAATTGAGTCTGGTGTGCAGTTCTCAGAGATAGCACTGGTCACTAGACACACACGTCTGACAAGTCCACACCCGCTTCTAGTACAACTTCTGAGCAGTCCGGAGTAACTATTTTCAAGGGCTCCATCATTCCTGCGACTGCGAAGGTCCTCGTCTTCCCGCCTCCCGACGGACGATCCCGGAGGCCCCCATAGGGCGCTTCCCGATGTCCAATGAGACCGTCTGTTGGATGCTGAGGTAAGAGATGAGTCATTCTACCCCAATGATTCTATAACTACTGTAAGAGTAGTAAGGTAATTGACTCGAATAACTACGAAGTACATAGGTAGTAGTCATTAAGGCATCGATATGGTCGAGTGGTGATCTTCTAGCAGATACTAAAGATTTGTTCTGGACTATTTTTCCAATTACAGCTATACATATGAAGGTCTAGTAGGTGAATTTTACCACTACTAATTTTACAGCGGACTATATCAGAGAAATAGACTCTGAATTTTTTTCAAAGATTTACTCAGTAGCAGGCAAGAGGTATTCCAGAAAGCTACAGTATATAGGTCTTATTTAAAACTTATTATCTTTCTTGCTGTCTCTACAGTAAGTGCAATAAGAAATAAAAATGCCACTGAGTATTTTCTGTGCTGCTAGCTTTTTCTATAGACTTCAACAGTTTGTTTGACTTGAAGATATGATTAGTGACTTTCTTTGAAGATTTGCGCAAACATGTACTAGTACTGCCTTTCCTAAAAATAATAGTTAGATAAGCACACGCCAATCTAAATGACCACGCTGAATAGTTGGTTAGTCAGTGTAGGCTCTGACATGATCGGCAACGATCGAAGCAGAGAATAAAAGGAATTGCGAATATATTGGTATGAGTACTGATTATCATTGGCATTAGAGCAGAAAAGGGTGATATTCATGATAAAACTATGTCCTCTGCTCTGAGAATACTTACTAGCTTGTCATTTCCAATTTTGTCTCGATAGAATAGTCCACTGATGTCCTCTGGCTTATCCTCGAATAGCAGTTACAAGGACCTCTATCAGTCCCCAAATATAGGACTACTGTAGAGTTGAACTCAACTATCGCACTTCATAGAGACCAGCAGATGCTGTAGCACTGTTTTCATCGTAATTACGAAGTATACCCTATCCTATTTTCACTTTTGCTGCCGGAGATTGCTCTAAGCCTATACTTACCACTTCACCTACCTTGGCCAAAGGCTAGTGAAGTGCACGCCAGACCCGAAGGTGAAGGCGTCTCCGTGAAAGTTGCCACATTGACTTTTTGCGCGGCAATTCCCATTATTCGTGTTGAATTCCCGTGTGTAGTCCCGTCATTGCCCATGACGGGTGGGAACTTCCTGAGCCCTCCACGGCATTTCCCATAGTTATACGTAGACTCGTAGACTCACAACCAGCGGAATATAGCTTCTAACTACTTAGCTTTTAATGGAAATATCCGAGACTCAGCCATACCTATATAATCTGGCGCTTCTCGCCTCCCTTCTCTCCCACTTCCATCCAGTTCTCTTCTCTCTCCCAAAGCGTCACTCATTTCTCCCCCCTGTATTGTGGTGGTAAAGCCTGCCATTCACCTTCAGTAACGAAGCTGCTGACCCAGTCACCGTAGTTAACACTCACTGCCAACAGCTTCATTCACTGGACGGTCAGTCTCCTGCCCCCCAGGACTCTCTGGCCCGCCCACCATGTCTTCCCCTTCCCCCCCTCCTCTTCTCCCCTTCCTCCTCTTCCTCTTCCTCCTCCAACGAACTTTACCAAGATCCGATTCTTCTTAACTTCGTTGACACTTACAGTGTTTAGCAAAGCTTATCGCGGAATCATCTTCTTCGTATCTTCGTTAACATCTTCCTGTGCTTTTTTTTCAAAAGTACAAACCGCTTTTTAAAGCTTCTCTTCAAGGTTTGAGCTCCAGACCTACTACCGTTAGAATCTCGTAAACAACAAACTCACGCTGTACAGCATGTTCACCATGATGTCTCCTACGGAACAAGTCCTCGTGTACGGAAGGACCCTGAACCCGGAGTACGAGTCATTAGACATGCTCGACTTGACTGCAGGACTGGACACCGTCTTCGCAGCTCTTATTCTCTTCTTCTTTGTCGCCGTAAATTGGCACGCCCTCACCTCTGGCATCTCGTTCGGGGCCAAGCTGCTTGCAGCCGTTATCTCTCCCCTCGAATTCCTCGTCGCGTGCGTTGACGCGTTCAAGAGATGGATGGTCCAGAGCCAGATGGGTCGTCGCCTTTCCGACCTCCGTAACTGGTATTTCCCTGCCCGTCGTCCCATCGCCATGATCTCGCGGGTTTATGTCACAATCGTCACTTTGATGTGGACGAGTCAAGATCTTCTGACGCCCGGCTACCATGTCTTGTATGGCATGGCTGATGGTATGGGACCTGCAGGCTGGGACCACTGGGAGTACTGCCTGAACCTGGACCGTGGTTCTCCGGCAGGCCGGTGGTCCAGCAGTCGGCGGCTCCAGGGATTCCATTGTGACGGAGTCGACCTCGGCGTGGAGTTGTTTTCTGTCTGGGAAGACTACATCCCAACGTTCAGCGTTGGAGATGATATTGAACACCTCCAGATTTTCCGTTTCGTCTGTCTGGTTTTGGCCCTCGCCAGCATTCTTGCCGGGGCTGTTATCGCTATCCGTCATTCTTCTCCTGTCAAGGCCATTGAGACGCTTTGCAGCTGGACACGTTCGAAGTCAAAGAACGGTCCTGAAGATGAGGCACAGCACCAAGATACAGCGTTGCTCGAGCAAGTTGGACTTCTTTCGGCCAGGATTGGCACTTACGAAGCAATGCTGGATGAGGTACGAGGCCAGCTGGCCGCCAAAACCGAGCAGGCGAACGGAATGGAGGTGCGATTTGACGAACTCCGGTCGAGAAATCAGATGCTGGTTGCACGTTGCAAAGAGGACAAGGTTGCCCAGCAAGAGAATTTGATCGCCGGTCTTCGTCAAGAGCTAGATCGGGTCAACTGTCGCCTCATAATGGCTAACGGAAGAGCGCGGGGGGCGCAGTACAAGTCTGACTCACGGGAGCAGACTCTCACCAACCGTGTCGCCGAGCTAGAGGAGCAGCTGGCTCGCAAGAGTGATGAAGCGAATGCCAACTCTCGCGGCATTATTGAATCGCTTCAAGCAGACCTCCGTAATCGGACCGATGAGCTCAACGCCATGGCGCGCCGTCTAGAAGCCGTTGAAGCTCTGGCCGAGGAGACCTGCGGCATTGAAAAGCTCCGTGTGACAGAGGAGGGTCTCCGCAAGGATGCAGAGATCTCTAGACTCCAGGAACTACTTCGGGTTCAGGAGGAGCAGTCTTACGAGCGGGCGAGGGAACTTAGCATCGTCGAAGACCAGCTTTCCAAGCAAGAAGTTGTGATCCTGGACCTGGGCGCAAGAATCCGGGCCTACGAGGCAGCACCCCAGGTGCAGGCCACGGAGCCTAACGTCGCAGAGATCCGTGACCTGGAAGAAAAACTTCGGTTTTTCCAGGCACAGTGTCACACGCAAGCAGCACAACTCGGAATCGCGGAAGTCCAAGTGAATGCCCTGCAGGCCCAGCTCGAGGGACACTCCCACGTGCTGGAGCAGCTCCGGATCGCAGAGGCCCAGCACGTAAAGCTGGAGGCAGAGGGTCGCGCAAAGCTGGAGGCAGAGGGTCGCGCAAAGCAAGAAGAGATCGACTTCATGTCGCAACAGTACGACACACTCTTTGCCGAGCACTTCGACCTTACTGGACAGCATAAGAACCTTTCTGAACAGCATGAGAAGCTGCAGAGTGCGTTCAAAGGGGACGATGCTGCCCAGGAAATCCTGGGGCTGCGGGCCGAGATCGAGTCTCTGAAATCTGCGTTGGATAGGAACAGCGCGGCCCAGGAAACTCTGAGTCTCCGGGTGGAGGTCAACGCGGTGAAGGCGGTCGCCGAAGAGAAGGTGAGGGAAGCCGAGGCGAAGGCGACAGAAGCCGAGCAGAAGATGATGGAGGCTGAGGGGGTCGCGAATTCTCTCCGGCAAGCCGACGAAGGGCATCGCAAGACAATGAAAAGCCTCAAAGATGCCTACGATAAGGAGGTGGAGAGATACGATGACGAGGTCGCGGCGGAACGTGCGGCTGCCGACGAGGCTCGGAAGCAGGTGAAGGGCCTGGAGGAGGAACTCAAGGAGATGTCGCGGCAAGTCGGCATCGCCTCCAGGGATGCTCAGCGTTTCCGGGAGCAGAAGGAGGGCACCGAGGCGGAGAGGGACAAGCTCACGGGCGTCAATGACGTCCTTGAGCACCGTCTGAAGTTTTGGGAGAACAGCGAGAGTATGCAAACGATCCCCAAGCGCCGTACGGGCGACTTGGGGTCTCTTGCGACGGCTCTGGACGAGGCCAGGGTCGAAATCTCCAGGCAGCAGACCGAAATCAACGGTCTGCGTGCCAAACTTCAAGCTCAGACGGAGTCCGCCGCCTCAGCCGCTTCTGCTCCCTCCGACCAGGCCCTTCAAGACAGCGTCGACCGTTTGCGACATGCCATGGAGGTCGAGAAAAGACAGCGAACCGAGGACCAGGTTCGCTGGGGCCGGCAGGTCCAAGAGTTGCAGCAGGAAAACCAGCGGCTGCGGGTTTCCATCTCCAGCGCCGGCCTGGGTCGCGGCTGCGGTCGTGGTCGTGGCCGAGGTGGTTGACGCTGTCGCCTGTCTTCCGGGCCTTCAAGCCCCATCATCTTCGAATCGGCTTCCCTGGTGTGAGAGTGAGTGAGTGAGTGAGTGAGTGAGTGGGGGAGAGAGAGAAAGATACTAATGACAATTGAACTCAAAAGGACACTCTGACTTGCGACCGGCCTCGCCAGGATTTCGGCATGAAAAGCTCGGGATACTGGCAGCCTGCTATATACAGGCTACTACTACTACTACTACTACTCCTCAACAGGCAGCGCAATGATCGGATGTCATTCATCATCGGCAGGGACACAAGGAACGATCGACAAAATAGAATATGGTAATAAGGCAGAGCAATTGGAAAGTCTAAACCGGGTGGAGGTGTTCGTGAGATGGCCACTCGGTATAGAGGGAGTGAGTTGTTCGATAATCAATCAGTCACATGTGGATCACGGGGTCAGTCGGGGAAAAGGTCCGTGACTGGCAGCGATAACGGATTCCTTTCCCTTTTCATCCTCATCAACTTCATCCCACAAGAACCACAATTTCAACGGCCGGCTGGCATTAATTTGGGGGCACCTGCGTGCGGGAGAGCAGAGGATCCTATCAGATCCACGCTGCGAGTAAGTACTTATCCCTCCTGGATCATAGCCAATGGATTGGGAAATTGATCCGAACTAACACTCAATAGTGGCCAGTAGTTCTCAACAAGCGCCGCGCTGTTTCATTCCCTCCCTTCAGTGCGTGTTTCACCTTGGGCCACCAAACCATGGGCGACCCCGTTCTTCATTCCACCATTTCCACCATTTGCTCCACATTCTTCCATGCAAGCCCCCTCCATTATCATACAATCCCGCCAACTCTCTTTTTTTCTCGCGTGGATTGCTCGGCTTCTGACCCTCAAGGGGTTCGCCTTTTCCCTGTGAACTGTCGTTCGTTTCTACTCCAAATTACCTCGTCTTTCCTTATTCCCATTGTGGCCGATATTTCGTCTCTTTCTCTCTCTCTCTCTCTCTCTCTCCCTCTCTCCTGTGCTTATCAGCAATTGCGATCGGTGTTGCAACCGCAGCAGCACGCGCCAGGACCCCCCTTCCCCTATCTTGGCACGTTCGCCCTACCCACTGAAGCTAGCCGCCAACGTCGCAGTTCAAGCGTCACCATAATCTTTTACAACACTTCAATGGCTATTCAGAATGGGTCCGCAGTGATTGACAGGTCGCTCGTTTGACCTCGGACTCCAGCAATCTCTCAGCGGTTATGCGCGATTGTTGTCGATAGTCGCTGGCCGTACTGCTGACGCTTTCCTCTCTTTCCTTGGCGCGGTCTCGTACATAACAATTTCGAGATCCTGGCTTCCTCTCACTCTCACACTACACTCTCACTCTTTAATCTTCGCTCTCGTTGCGACTTCGACTTCGCCCGGCTGGACCGACGAAGCATCACTCTTTTTCCCGTTGAGACTGTCTCCCTTCACCTTCTTTTATCTCATTGTGTACTGGCGACACCGGATTGGTTATCGGCATGTTTTGTTCTGGAGACAGGGAGAAAGGGCCTGTGGCCTTGGAGGAACAGTGGGATTACATTGTGAGCTCATTTCTTGAATTGGTCCTCCTATAAAAATGCCGCTGACGCTGACTGTTTACAGAACCTCGATGACTTCAAATCAGAGTCCTGTCTATCCCCGTTCTCATACTTCTTTCTCTACGTCTTCCTTCTTATCTCCATAGCCGTGTACGGAGTCGACACCTTTACCGCCGTCAATCTTCTTGCTTTCTCACGATGGGCGGGCCAAATCGAGCCTGCGATTCCTTTCAAAATATCGCGATGGATCTTCGCCGTTTGCATCATCATCTCTTTCGCCCTCTTGATCTACCGATGGTTGCGCGCCATTCGTGCAATCCGCTCCGGGAGTATCGCTCAGAGCTACCTCGACTCTCTCGCTGTGCGCGTTCAAAGTATTCGAATGGGAAGCAACGGTCGCGGTTGGAGGCGATTCCTCGTGTTCGGCGAGTTAACCAAAAGTAAGAAGGGCGCTGAATACGTCGCCCTCTTCGCATACTTTGCTTTTGAATGTAAGTTCACCACTGCCCTTCTTGCACACACATGTTGACCTATCTAGCTTGGCTGAGCACTCTCTTTGCCGACGGCCCACGACAAGTCGTTAACGCTATTACCCTATACTCAGTGATGCAAATGGACCTTCTTCCCGGAGGCAGCAACACAACCGACGAGGGCGGGTCCGGAGCTTCGCAATTCTTTGACAACATGAAGGTGCTGGCGGAGGATAACACCGAACGTGCGGTTGTCCTGATCGGAATGCTATTTACCCTGGTCATATGGGTCTTGTCAATGCTCAAATTGATCCTGGCTGTCGTACTCTACCTTATCTTTCTCTTCCACCATATCCCTTCGGAGGATGGGTCATTGAAGGCTTATTGCAAACGAAAAATTAACAGCCGGCTTACTCGTATTGTCCGGAGGAAAGTCAACAAAGCTTTGGCTAAAGGCGTGGCCTTGCAAGATCGGAAACCGACCAATCCAAACATGGGTCTAGACAAACGGCCTACTCTTCCCTCACTGGGTGCTGGCGATGATGACAAGACACCTGTTGTCACCACGATCTCGCGCACTACCACACAAACCACTCTCCCGGCTTACTCTTCACGTCCTGGGACAGCTGCTCCGGATCGCAATCCCACCTTGCCAGATGTTGGCGCATTCAATGATAAACCTGGATTGAGCCGAACAATGACCGAATCTTCAGCATATTCCGATGCGGCTTCGTTGTCAGGAAGCACCGCGGTGTCAGCATACAGCCCACTGGATCGACATGGTACGCCGGCGCCACCAGTGCCACCAGTGCCACCACTTCCGAAGCACGGCCCTGCCCCGATGCCACGCTCCCAGACTCCAAGGATGCCACAGAATTTTAACCAAGCGCCTGCGCAACCGGGATACAATAGTCCATTGGAGCGGTCATCACCGGCGCCATCAATGCCGCGCACCCAGACACCGATGTCACGTTCAGACTTCACCCCAGCGCCTCGTCTGCCCGGTCAGCAGCCGGGACCCGTACCGCGTTTGCAGACTCCAGTATCGCGGCAAGGGTTTACACCCACACCTTCGGCTCCTGGATACGGCCCGATTGACAGGGCGTCGCCAGCGCCACAAATGCCACGAACAAAAACACCCGTTTCAAACTACACCTCAGGCCCCGGGTACAGCCAGGTTGACCATGCCTCGCCGGCACCGCAAGATTTTCGCAACCAAACACCCGTGTCACGTTCCAATTTTACACCAGCTCCTGGATATGGGCCAAACGTCCCCGGAACACGAGGTCCTGGCGAAGGGTACAGGCCATTTGAAACATACCAACCTCAACACGATCCTTATGGTCCTCCATCCAGCACTCCTTTCTGTCCATACAGTCCGGCAATTGATCCAAACTCTCGTTCTCTAACTCCCGCGTCTGCCTTCCCTGGTGAAAGAGCAGCAGCCCGAACATTCTCACCCTTCAACCAGCCTGGCGCAGCTCCCTATCCAGCTCAAGAAAACGAATACCCGCTACGGTCGTTCAGTCCTGCTACTTCTAATGGCCTTCGCTCTCAAGCCGCTGCCCCCGCCGACGCACTGGGCAGGACGTTCTCACCAGTCAATGCAGCCAATGGAGACGGCTATGTGGCGTTTAGTCCTGTAGCCAATGCGTCACCCTCGCCTTTTGCTAGCCACGCCATTTCCGCACACGATGGATACAGCCATGAATCCAGCTATGATCATCCGGAACCTCAGGACTATGACATGCCACACAGCTCCTATAACTCGCATGAAGAGCCTGAGAGTGGTTATGTGGCGTTCAGTCCTGCAGCCAATGCGCCGCGCTCGCCCTTTGCTAGCGACGCAATCTCGGCACACCACGAAGCCAACCATGAACATCTAGATCACTTGGACCATACCATGCCACATGACTATAGCTCGCACGAAGAGCTTAAGAGTGGCTATTCTGCATTCAATCCCGCTGCTAAACTATCGTCCTCCGACCTAAAACATGCTTCTCCATTCGAAGATCATGACGAATCGCATATCGATGCCGCCCATGAGTCCACAGGAAGACCAAATTCGGAGTCCCACGAAACGTCGCAACAGAACCATAATTATGTTGCTTACACACCTTCCGCTGGAAATGAGTCCCCTCTCGAGGGACATGCTGAGAAGCATGAGAACGTCGGAATGCATACCGGCACTGACGTGGCGGACAACTCGTACGAACACCGTGTGTCGAGTGAATCGCATGATGTGCTACAGTCCCACTACAACCATGATAATCCTACCACTTCGTCCAGGAAGTCGTCCGAGTCCGAAATCTCTTCACAAGGACACCACGAACAAGCGACTGCAGAGCAGATACATGGATTAGAGGTCAGACCTGTTTCTCCGCTGAGCTTGGGCGACTTAACGCATGCCAATGATGGCTATGCAGCTTTCAATCCTTCTATCAGCTCGCCTGCGCGAACCGAGACTGAACATAGTTCAAATTACCACACACAAACAAGTGCGACTGTCGAGAACCCGTTCGAGAACTCCAACCGGAAAGAAACAAGACCCTCAGAAGGGTACAGGGCCTTTAGTCCTTCCGTGAGATTACCCGCTACACCCACACTCCCAAACATCGCGCCATATCAACACAATGGTCAATCACCATCAAGGACGATGTCCCCTCAAGGCGAGACTTCAAACGTGAAGCCATATCGGCCGGATTACATCTAAATTATTCTCTTCTTTCGTTCACTAGCTGGACTTCTTCATGATAATAGGAGAGCTGGCTGTACTTTCTGTTACGATTGCATTCTACCAACGAGCAAATGCTCACGAGTTGTTAAATACCCTTTGTTTCCCCAATCTTCATGTTCTTAACGTTTTGTATCTCCAATTGGGTACTCTAATCAGAGACCATCCAGGAGACTTTATCAAGCCCATGGCTGTTCTAAATTTGTACATACCCAGATGAGTTATCTCACATACAATGTTAACTCACACTTGCTACCCATTCATGATCATAACAGTAACCATCATTAGCCATCTCACCACAACCATAACCAAACCTACATACATACATACATCCCCTCCCAACCCCACAAAGTTGAATCTACCTCCACGTATCAACCACCGTCTCCCCACTCCCACACTCCGGCACCGTATACTCCCTATTCGGATCACTTTCCCAAGTAACACCCCCATCCTCCTCGACCTTAATAAACTTATACTCGAAGGTCGTCCCCACCGGCAACGACACAGTAACATACCACTCGGGATTACTCGAGGTATAATCATCCGCGGACAACTTCACTGCGTCACTCGTATCCCACTCCCCGAGCTGAGAGATAGATCCGCTCAGGTAGATTTCTTCGCCGTAGGTGGTGGTGACTAGTTCTTCGAAGGTGATGGGGAGAGTGGTGGATGTTGCGGTGCATGATGATGAAGTAGTAGAGGAAGAAGAGGAGGAGGTGGTGGTGGTGGCTTTGGATGTGGAGGTGGAGGTAGTTGTAGTTGTACTTCCTCCACAGAGTGATGAAGAACTATCAACCACCGAAGCAGGGAGAAGAACCCTAGGTAATCCCGAAGCCATCGGAACAGGGATATCCCCGTTCGAGTCGACGGTCACAGTCGTGCAGGTGTACGCTTCGATGAGCTCCGTGCCGGACGTGTAGCCGCTTCCGCTGAGGGTGAGGGTGTAGCTGCTTCCTGAGGAGCCTTTGTTTGAGAGGACGGTGATGACCTGGCTGCCTGACGTGCCTTTGCGCATGGCGATGGTGTTGCTGTCTGTGTAGATTGGGTCGTTCTATTCCATTTTTTAGATTTGTGTTAGAATGGGAGTTGAGTTCTGGGTGGGGGGAAGGGCAAAGGGCATACCGCGTAAGTAATGTAGTCTGAGTCCGCTGAGATAGCTAGTTTGCGGATCGCGTTCGTGGTGGCTATCCAGGTGTAGAGCTCCGCGGAGGTGTCGTAGCCTGATAGCCAGGTTGCTTCGCGGTTGTAGGGCACGTCGCCGCCGGAGTAGTGCTGTTCTTCGCCGGCATAGACGATGGGGATGCCGTCGGAGAGGAAGATGTAGCTGAGGACGTTTTTGGCTTGAGAGTAGTCGGATGTGTAGCTTCGCTTGTTAGTGAGTGTAGTTATAGGGGGGAGGAGAGGGGAGAGGGTGTAGACGTACGAGGCGAAACGGGGGTTGTCGTGGTTTTCGATAAAGTTGCCGAGGAGCGTCGGATCGGAGCAGTCGTTGGCGACGGATTTGATCATGTTGTAAAGGTCGCTGATGCTGCCGCTGGAGGATTCGAAGGCGTAGAGGAGTTGCCAATAGCTGTTTGAGTTAGAGATGGTTTAGAAAAGGTGGAAAGGAGGGGGGGGGTGTACATGGGATAATTGAGAACACCATCTAGATAGTCTTGGTATGGGCAGTCGAGAGCAGGGTTGCCGTTGTCGACTTCACCGACGCAGTAGACTCCTGCTGCTTCTTGGTAGCCGGGGAAGAAGTCCGGTTCGACTTCGAGGACACTGTCGATGCGGAGGCCGTCGACTGCGGTTTTATTTAGTATGTGGCTTGGTTTTAGTGGTTTGGGGTCGCACCTGAGTAGTTGGATACCAGGTCGGCTACCCAGTCATACCAGATTGTTCTCACGGCGGTTTCGGTGGTGTTCAGATCTGGTAGAGACACAATGGTGTCACCCTCCCAACAATCTTGAACCATGGTCAAGTTGTCCCAATCGGTGATGAGGCAGTATGGATGGAAGTAGGAGGAGGAGTCGAAGGGGTCAAAGACGCTGTAGTCCACATCGTTGCCGTTGCCGGCGTAGCCCTGGTACAGTCATCGTTAGTATTGGGCTCACTGATACAGAGCTGAAGCAGCACTCACCATGTGGTTGGGAACGACATCGACCATGAGGTACATTCCACGGGCGTGAAGAGCATCCGAGAGGGATTTCAGGTCATCGGCAGTGCCGAAGTTGGAGTTCACATCGTATCTGCCAAGTCAGCTGCAGTCTGCAAGTAAGTATACAATATGAATTCGATGAGCACATACATCTTCTGCTGCCAGTATCCATGGTAGGCTTCACCGTCCGAAGTATCCTGGGGCAGCTGCTCAGTGATGGGTGAGATCCAGATAGCTGTGAATCCCATGCCCTGGATATAGTCCAGCTGCAGCAACAGTCAGAAGCGCCCAGTATGGATGGTATGAACTGATTTACGAACATGGTTGATAATTCCTTGCCAACTTCCACCACAGTAGATCTACTCACGTCAGTAGGTGGATGATGAAAGTACTGCAATACCATACTTGGTCACCCGTATCGCACGTAGCTGTAGTCGAATTGTCCGTTCTACCGAACCGATCTGTCAAAAGGAAGTAAATTGATTGAGTGCGCCATTCTGCAGCTGACAGCCCAAGGGCCAGCTTCCCAAAAAGGGTCACAGAAAGGGCAAGGCTTGAAGTCGACACTCTCATAGCTGTGTATTAAGGTCCGACGAAGCGACAGAAAGTGTCCCAAGCACAGCCTGACTATTTGAGAACTATGTTCCTGATAATCATTCTTAAATATTCCCTTCAGCATGGCCCCAAGTCCCTGAGCACCTTGCAAGGCAGATCAACCCACCTACTACCCTTCTAATCACATCTGATGCTTGATGGATGCCAAGTGAAGCCGGCAATTAATCCATCAACCAGGAACGGGCGTATACACAGTCTCTCATTGGTCAGAACTCCGATCACTTCGGGGGCCAGGATTTAACCCTGGTCCCCTTAATTGTTGCAGAACAACAAATCTCCGACACGGACTACTCACTGTTAGCTAAATACGCCCCTTAATTGGAGAAGAATCAAGGCCAAACCTTGTTCTGACTCGTGGAGAACGTGACGGATTTCTCGGGGCGTGATATGCCGGGTGAACAGGGTTAACTGCAGGTTACCCGTTAGGGCGCCTCGCTTGGCGAAGCGAGATGAATTCCTGCAGACTACCCGGGTCAACGCCATAGGGCCCTATGGGTGCGGAGAAGATAGATTAAACTTGTATGTATGAAAAGTCAAAGCCCGTCCCATGTTGCACTCGAGCTGCAAGGTGATGGAGCGTTCAGCGGGATATCCTGGCTGGTGGCTTAAGCGGACAGTATTATTTACCGCATGCCCAGGCCGAGAAACTATTTTAACCGAAAGCTTGCATGATTGTGAATATCACATGCATTTATTTCAAAGAGCCGTTCGCTGATTCCAGTCACCCATCCGACCGGAGTAGGGCCTCAGCGCATCCCATACTGCTTGCGAGACTGCGGGAGAGATACGCGCGGCTTGGCTGAAGCGCTGACACATGCGCAATTTATAGTTCAGAAATTAATCAAAAGAAAGGTTATATTGCAGAAATAGTTGTCTATAATTCTTCTTCTATCGAATGCCAGCCTCGATGAAGCAAATTGCAGCTCTCGGATACTTTCTGCCGTGGTCATTACAACTGGTGTTTTCGGACCGTCCATGCAAGGATCGATCCTAGAAGCGAAAGGACGAGGGAAAATACTGGCAAAATGTCAATAAGGAGGTATGGGTAATATACCAAATTACACAACTTACGATAAGTGTAGCGGAGACCAGCCACATATCCTTTTACCACTACATCTCGAACATGACCCTGCAAGCCATTGATATAGCTCGTATCGGACAGCGCGCGCTCGATGATCTTTGAAAACCGTCAGTAAATACCTGCAGAAAGGAGAGGAGATACACACCTTCTTGGCCCCCGGGCCAGTCAGATGCTGTTCCATCTGGCGCTTGAAAACAGTCCCCAGAAGACTGTTGGTGACCGTCACACCCGCCGTCATGGCGAAGCTGAAGAGTAGGAAATACCCTCCAGTCGCCATGGCGACTTCCTGCGGCATCAGAAACGCCGTCATACTGACGAAAGCAGCCGCTGAGCAGAAACCAGTACCCATACCACCGGGAATAATGTACAAAGACTCCCAGAATCCAGTGTGACCGTTCCAGCGGAGGAAAAGGAGTAGATAGGCGACAGACGCAACGAGACCGGCAAGAATCAAGAGGACCTTGAACTGGCCGGTGCGACGGATGAAGGCTCCCGCGATCAAGCCTCCAAGCGTGTTCCCGATCACGGCGGGAACTAGATGCCCTCCAGCTACGGTGGCTGAGGCTTTCGATGTCACCTGGAAATATAGCGGCACAGAGAACATCATTCCAACTTGGGCGGTGATCTGCAGCGATCCGATCAAGTAACTGGGCGTCACGTTCGGCTTCCGCAGCATGCGAAGTTCGAAGATCGGCTCGGGGGCTACATAGAGTTCAACAAGAACGAAGGCGACGAATGCTGACAGACTGAGAGTTGAGAGGATTGCCGTTGACAGTGATGCCCATGCGAAGGACTGTCCTGCTTGGTCCATAATAACTGTGATTGTGATAATACCAGTGCCAAGAAGAAACGTTCCGAGAAAGTCGACACGGCGGATGCTCTTCTCGGTGACTGGATGGGCAAGCTTGAGTTTCCATACCACCAACAAAGCTGCCACAGCGGCCAAGGGCCCCTGGATTATAAACGACCTTGACCGCAAATTAGCGAGAGAAGCGGCTACAGAGGCGCAAAGCATACCATCTCCATCCGATTGTGTCGGTTAGCCATCCGCCCACTGGGCCTCCTGCGCTACGACCCAGAGTCATCGCGATGTTGATGTACGCCCGCCAATGGGCAACATCTCGGCGGGGAACAATATCTGCC